CTATTTCATTGTTCGCATTCTTGAATTTCTTTAACTCTTAATTTCTATAAATACAAATGGATTATTTATTATTTTAGAATCTGAATCTCGATATGTAGTGGATTTGATAATCGTAACTCATATACGAAAAGGTTGGATAAAGAAATTTTGTATAGCAGAGCAAACTGTTGGATACTCGACTATATGAATGTGAATTTCGTAAGAAAATCTAATGGTTTTCGTAATTTTTTTAATAAATATTAGGGAAAACCCAAAAACCCTAATTTATTTAATTAATATCCTTATTATTTATAAAGCCAAAAACCATAATTTTTCGAAAAAACTATAATCTTTATAAATTTGTCTATTTTTTTTTTAACTTCAATTAACTATATTTAAAATCGTTTTTTATAATGTTAACGCTGATAAATTTCTCTGTTTTTCAAATGAAATTCTATTTTTTTATAAAAAAACTTCATTATGTCATATGAGAAAACTCCTAACTACAAATTATTGAAAACTTCGATTTTACATTCAAACCTACGCACCTAACTCTCACCGGTAGAATTTTGGATAAAGAGACGAAAGAAATAAAGAGAGACGTTCAATTACAAAAAAAAATAAAAAAATAAAGAGAGAAATTCAGAAGAACTTGAATTTATAAAACGTCTACATTTTAACCATTTCAATATTCAAATATCAAATGTAAAAAAAAAAATAACACCTTATATTTGTATGCGTCCTAACAACATTGATTGGTAAGAAGAAATCTTTGCTATGAATAGAATCTTGGTTTGATATTTATTTATGATAAAAAAAAATTAATTAGGTGTATAAAAATCTTAGGGTAGATAGCTGAATGACATGGACTCTCGGGCCTCGGCCTATTATTTTCTAATCTTCCAGCCCAAAATAAAAAAAAATAAATAACACCAAAACCCAATAACTAATAAAAAAACCCATAATAAAAATTCTATGCTAGGAGTCTATCACTTATTAGTATAATGAAATAACCCAAGATTCGAATTCGGATGTGAAGACACTTTGTAGTTCGGCCTTATCAAATGTAGCCGTTGTTATATGGTAATGATCTTATCCTTATCATGATTTTGGCATATGATTGGAGATGTTATTGTGAAGATATTCTCCCGAGCATGCTAAGTCCTCGGTAGCCTATATTTCAACCGTGTACATACATAAATAACCGAACGTTATGATATATTGTTATAATTATTATCTAGTACCGTATGTCTATAGTGTTGGATTATTTTCAATAACAGAGTGAACTAATACTTATATATCAAATCAGATATATATATATATATATATATATGCAATAGAGAGACTATTGCAAATTTAATGATAAAACTTGGGACCATTTTGATTAACCACTTTAATGATCAAATTGGTCCATACTGTTGGATTATTTTGTTTAATGCAGATTTTATGATAAAACTAAGAATTAAGAGTTTAATTGATATCTTGGAAAAATTATAGAGACTAATGTGCAGAAACGGGTACATCATTTTTTGAATTTTTAATGGTCATATTCATAGTTTATTTTTATAAACCGGAGATTATGATATCTAGGTTTAAACGTTATGTATTATATGACATATTTCGGAATCCTATATAGAAATTTATAGAATGATATTTTATAATCAAAATAATATATAAATAGATGAGAATATTATACTGAATAAGTAAACTAAATATAATAATAAATATTTCTAAATATATATTTTTTGAATTTGATAAGATCTCCATTATACGATCTATCTCGTAATATTCTTCAAGATCCGTTATATCTTAACATCTCTTCAAGTTGGAGTGTGAAGATTACGAAATGTCAGACTTGCAGAAAAGATGATCAAACACATGCCACTTGAACCACATCACCTTTTGAATTTGTGTCAATAGGAAGACATAACTGGAAAAAATCAAACGAACGACTGCGCTGCAAATTTGACAATACGCATAAAAAAACCGTTTGATGATAACAATAAAGGGAAACAATCGCGGTGCAAAAAAGGAGTCTCGAGAATAACTATGATTCATCCGAGATTGGAAGATAATAACGCGGAAGCGTTTAATGATAACAATTTTTTACAAGAATAAGATAAGTGGCGGTTATGTGAATAATCTTTTAAAAACATATGGGATTATGAGAGAGAGAAAAAATGACTCTTTTATTCTTAATAAAAAAAAAACTCAAAATGATATTACCATTGGATCGGTATATATCATCATCATCATCATCATCATCATCATCATCATCATCATCATCATCATCATCATCATCATCATCATCATCATCATCATCATCATCATCATCATCATCATCATCATCATCATCATCATCATCTTCTTCTTCTTCGTCATCTTCATCTTCACTCTCATTATAAATCATCATTTTTTATGAAAAGAACAATAAACTAGAAAAAACCGGAAGTTCTGATACTATGTAAAAATTTGCGGAATGATATTTTATTCATAATCAAAATAACATATAAATAGATTAAATTTTTACATTGAACAAGTAAACTAAATATAATAATAAATATTTCTAAATATATATTTCTTGGATTTGATAAGATCTTCATTATACGATAAATCTCGTAATATTTTTCAAATTCCGATATATCTCAATATCCCATCTTTTTAAAAATAATTCTGTTAAAATTTAGATATAAAAAAAATAAAAAAAAATCCGATTGTGAAAATATTATGAATCCACTACTATAATGGATTCAAATATGATTGTTTTATTACAGTGTCATTTAGTTTTTACGATTTTCAACTTGTTTGAGTTTGGGGATTTTCCGTCGTACGCCACTTTATTGCTAAGCTAAATTTGTTAACACACAGAATATACTTCGTGCACCCAAATACACACGTAAACAAAGACAAATTAATCTTACATTAAGGGCCAGCGTAGATATCTACCAGTAAATTTTTTTTACTAACTTATAAAACTTCAATTTGTACCACTTCCATAGTACTTAGAAGAAGAAGAAGAAGAAGAATATTGCAAAAGGGCATTTAGCTTTGACGCATGATTTCAATCTCGTTTCTTGATTAGTAAATGCGTGCGCCTCGTCATATGAATATCACCAACAAGAACAACAACTGCTGCATCCAAGCATATGCTATAAAAAAAAAAACACAGTTGTTCTTGTTGGTGAGTCATATGATGAGGCGTAAGCATATGCTAATCAAGGAACGAGCTGAGGAAGAGGAAGAGGGTCTCTGACATTTATTCGTGCCTCCTTTTGCACGCAATGTTATTTGTGCCTGTTGCATTGTCAATGTCTCTGCAAATGCATGGAGATTGGGTGATTTTATACTCAAACAACGTCGATGGCTTTAAAGAATATATACATTTTTATGGCGACGGAAGTTGCATGAGTTGAAAGCTTCCTTATTGTATTATCGCCACTTGATGACGAGTTGGCAAAGAATATGATTTCATTGACATTTTGCAACGATGTTGTCATGTGACAATGAAAACATTGGTTGAAAAGAATTTTTTTTTTTTTTAAAGATGGTTGAAAAAGAGTTGCAAATTTCTTACGTAATAACATATATATAGACTTATTAGTTATTATATAAGATACACTTATATATATATATATATATACACACACGTACGTATTTCTTAAGTTGAATAAACTATGGAGAGTGGTAAGGGTTGAAGGAGACAAGACAACGAAACGAAGAAGAGCTGATATGGTTCAAGTCGGTTCTTTGGCAAGCTCCAATAGTGTATATCTACATAAATATATACATACATGTGTATATCTACATAAATATATACTCACATTTGTGTATGTCTATATATATATAATTCTTGAATCATCTGGAGAGATTATATCAAAAAGTTTGGTTGATGGAGTACTACGAAGCATTATAAAATGTCGTGATATATATATATATATATATATATATATATATATATATATATATATATGTATAAATCTAACAAACATATATATATATATATATATATATATATATATATATATATATATATATGTTGAAGTCTAACATGCAACGTTGACATTTTTCTATAATAAGATTATTAAATTTGGCTTTCTCACTATCGCCAATGGACATTACCATATAGATCAATATCGATGTACACAACATTCAAGTTAACATTATTGAATCAAATTAGACAATGTGTGTGTGTATATATATATGTGTATGGGTGTGTGTATGTGTGTCTCCATATTATAAATATCTATTGACGCCCCTATTTGTAGCATTGAAAGAAAGAAACAAAAAATAATACGTTATATGTAGATATTTTTTTTTAGAAGTTACAAAGTTTATATATTTATTCGAAAGATTTAAAAGAGTTCATATTTTTTTTCTAAACGATTATTAAAAAAACATTTCCACAAAAGTAGTTCTAACTTCAAATTGAATAATCTTCCTTGGAATCAAGACAAGAGTATTGGGGACTTGTTGTAACACGTACGAGGAACATTAAGTATCTTTTTCCTTCTGTGTAGGAATTTCCCTAACAAAATTATTTACCTTAAAAAGGTATTTACAGTAGGAACCTCTATCACGTACCACATTTTTTTTTATCATTATGACAAAATTTGATCAAATACGGTCAGAGAATGATAAATAAACTAAGTTAAAATTCAGAAAATTTCAATCCATAATATTTTGAATCATCGTTGCCAATGGAATCGAAATGATATCTAGATTGATCAGAAGATCCCTTTAATTGGTTAGATGGACCGTACCAGATTTTGGTTTATTCTGATGATTCCATTGACTTTACATAACCGGTGAAACTCTCTACATCGTTCAGAAGGTTTGCACTTGCTACATTCGTGGGCCAAGGCCCAAGTAGAGGCCCACGTTGCCACCCTACTTCTTGTGTTGGGCCGACAACACAGAACTCGCCATCCACTGTGCTTCGACAACTTCCTCAATGCTGCTACTGTCCTGTCTGTGCCACTACTACTCTTCTCTTCAATGAAATAACACAAAGTCACAAACCATCCACTTAAATTGGGCACTCATATATACATATATATATATATTATACATATGGAGAAGGTTTCAGCTCCTTAATCAAACCCATGAATCACCATTTCTATAAAATCACTATCATGGCGTCTCTTCTGTTTATTTCCCTTCGACCGCCAGAACCCAAAACATCATAAAGGACGGGGATCGACGCCATCAAGAATCTAAGTACATCCAAAGAATGACGATGACACGCATGAGCACATAAACACGAGAAATAAGCAATGAACCAAAAGGAAAGGAAAAACGTTTTCAGTCAAAGAATTCCCAGTTGAACCTAGGCTGTATCCTCGGATGATCGTCGGTAGTAGCAGCAGCCGACGCCAATGCGGGTGCGGATGATGTCTCGAACGTCTCCCAGTTCGTGGAGACCGAAAACGGTCCAGAACCCGAACCCTTCGGCTTCTGCTGCTGCTGATACGAATCTTGTTCTTGAATCTCCTGTTTATGATTATGGTTCTTGTATTGGTGAACCGGCAGGTCGATGAGCGACTCTACCCGTTCTTGAACGCCAGTTTCCTGTCTCGGGTTTTCGTTGGAGAGTTCTTGGATCGGCTCCAATTTATGGCCGCTGGACCGTCTTTGCTTCTCGGCTTTCGCCCGGGTTTGGCCTCCATTTCCGTTAATCGAGTTCTTGATCTTCAACACGTCAAGAGTCTCGACGTATTTCTGCACTCTCCTCACCTTCACAAAAGAGCAATCAGTACACGCCATTTCACGATTCTAAACTCCGCCCGAATTATACATTACTGACATAATTTATCGGATTTTCGCAAAGAACGTGGACGATATAAAGATTTACCTGCATCTTTCTCTGCAGCTTTGCATCTCCATCGGCCAAGATCCCGTCCAACTTGAGCAGCTCGTTCATCAGAAGTTCGATCAGTTTCACCAAGTCTTTCTCCAAAACCCTCCCTCCTTTGTTGATCACCGTCTCCAAAGCCGAAACCTAACCCCGAAAACCCAAGACAACTCAACGTTAAAAACCGGTCTGAACCTGAAAACACCCGAGAAAAACGTTATCGGAAGGCGGGTAATTACCCGTCCACCGAGCCGATCCACTTCGAAGCTGATATCGGCTATGGCTTTGGAAGCCTTCTCGGTTTTCGCATTCTTCCTCATCTCCAACAATCTCTTCTCCTGACTGATGGGATCCTCAACAAGCACCATCTTGGACTTGTCCTTAACCCCTACGATGTCAAGAAACGCCTTCGAATCCCTCTCCTTGTCTTTGTACATTATCTTCTGATCTTGATGGTGCAAACCCGTCGGCCCACTCAACATCTTCTTCAGTTCCCCTGCCATCATATATTTACCAGTTCAATACTAACTTAGACCCTTCTAATCACAAAGTTCCATGCTCCTAAGCCAGGTCCGAATGCATATAACTCAAGAAAATTATCATGTTCTTGACGATTTTACCATTCGATCGCGTTGAATTTGGAGGGAAGTGGTAATGTACCCAAGGGAAACGGGGAAACAAGTGAACGTACCAAATGTAGCTTGGGGACTGATATTGATCTCATGGTACACCGAATTGTACTTGATCCGTACTCTGATCGGCGGCGGCGGCGGCGGAGCTCCGGCCCGGTCGGGATCCGGGTTTCGTTTCTGCACCAGCATCCCTCCCGGTCTCATTTCCCAGCCGTGTCCGGCGGTTTCTCCTCCGCCTCCGCCCGTGGCAGTCGCCGGAGGAAGCGTCGTGGGTTTATTCCTCGTCTTGAGCATCTTCTTAAAAGCAAAAAAAAAAAAAACACGGTGGATCTGTAGATCTTCTGGGGGAGAGAGATCTGTATCAGAAACCAGACATAGCCAATTGGAGAACAGAGTGTTGATGATCGAATAATCTCTCTCTCTCTCTCTCTCTCTCTCTCCTTTAACAAAAAATCTGGGACTTGGACATCAAACACGAGTCCGACCCATTTCGCACGTGTCCACGGAAAGATCAAAAGACCTTCTTTGATCCAGAAACCGAAAGAAAAACTGTTCCTTTTTCCCTTCTCCTCCTCTCTTTTTCCCGGGAAACCGAAACAAAATTTCCCAAATTTGGGTTCAAAACCTAATCCACTGCTCCTCCTCTTCGAGCCCAGAACGGTACGACCATTACCAGAAGCAAAATCCACGCGGTTGGAAGAATCTGAATTGACTTTGGATCTCCCCTCGCATTAACCGCGGTTTTCTCGGGAAAATGGGATAATTTTCCCGAGAAAATCAGTTTGAAAATGAGATTACAAGCGAGGAAAGAGGTACAATCTCAGAATACCATCTCGATTCTCTGTTCGAGCTTCCAGTTTCAGAAACCCCATGGAAAAAAGGAAATAATAATTAGAATAGTGAAAAAGAGAATAAGAACGAGTGGCCAGCTAATAGGGCATGTGACTTCACAACAAATATATCTCATATACATATAGATGTGTGTATATATAATCATATATTTTTACATATTTGACGTCATTATATAAGTATATACGTCATATATTTTAGGATTTTCAAAGTTTTTCATTTTTCGTTGATATATTTAGGATTTAATAAACACTAAATATCATTTTTCATCTTGTGCAAGGTAAGAAAAAATGATCTGTCTTTTCTTAATATCCTACAGTAATTAATTCTTATAAAATAAATTGTCAAAGGATAAAAAAAATTTCAAAATATATCATCTCCATTTACTTGTTACTGTATAAAGTTGGTGGCAATCACTACCCTGTACCATTAATATAGTTTTTATATTTTAAAGTGTATTAATATATAGAAATATAAATAAAATGGTACGCACAAAACTCTCAAATAACTGAATTATGATGTTATAAATTATTTTAAAATTAGAATTTTTAAGAAAACTCAAATTCTTTCTATATTTTTCTAATTTAGGTACTAATTTATCTCAATATGCTAAATCTAGGAAGAAAATAATTACAGAATTTTAATTTGATTATAATATTTTTACGATTTTTAATGATTAAGGACAGAAAAAAGACAGGACAGCTTACGATGCACATAGTAATATGCAACCAAACAGGATCGATTAAAATAAAAGGTAAAAAACAAAAAATTAAACGGATGACGGCTAGGGGAATATTCAGGTACGTAAAGGTGTATGTAAACGTTTCACATTTGACGAATGTAATTTCTACACGTGTAATTTTAAGGGTATTTCGGGAAATTGAAGTGATTCCAATCATTGACCGGGCGTTGGTCGTAACGACCATGTGGTGCTTAGCCTACGAACACGTTGCCGTGCTCGACGGCGATGCCGTGTGTAATTTCTACCTTTTTCATAAAAAATTGCTCATTAATTAATTAAGAAATTGCTAATTAGTCTTTGATAAAAAAAAAATCTAACTAAATTCAGTTTTATTATTAATCTTATTCAAAAAAATTCAATTTTTTACATTTTTATTTTACAGTTTCTAATTTACTCAAAATTCTCTAAATTAAATCTAAAATCACAAGCACTAAATGTTAAGCTCTAATTCTTAAATTTGAAATCTTAAATCCCAAATAAACTCTAAAATTTAAAATCTTAAACCATATATTTTAAATTTAAAGTTTAGGATTTAGGATTTATAACTGATTAGATTTTATGGGTTGTGGCTGTTTTTAGGTTTACGGTTTAAATATTAGGATTAATAGTTTAGAATTTAGTGTTTAGAGCCTGTTTAGGGTATAGGATCAGTGTTTAGTATTTGTGATAAAATTAGGAATTGTAAAAAATAAAAAATAAATAATTGTTACAGGATAATATATATAATTATTAAGAAGATTTTATACTAAAATTTTATGAAGATATACCGTTACTCATTAATTAATTATGATCATGGTGGAACTAATTAACTCCTTTTCAATAGAATTGTTTGGCGGTCCCAATTGTAATTAATTCCCAATTCCCATATAGTTTGAGCCTTTTAGCAATTAATCATGGCCTTGATTATCATGGTTTGTACAAATGAATGTGATTAAATTAGTCTGACCATTATAGCAAAAATAAATTAATTTGACCCTTCGATAGTGTTTTTCATTATTGTATATTTGGTCACTAGTATATGTTTGGATAGGAAATGGAGTAAATACACTACGTTTTTTTTTCATATACCTTAATTTTTCAACTCTTATTTATATTTTTAATCCCGAAATCCAAATCCACGCACTAAAAATACCACAGATTGATATAATTCAGTACACAATTTCTCTTAGAATTTATACCAATGTTAAAGATATCGATTTTATTTAGTTTTTACGTTTTCAAAACCCTGATTTATTAGAGTTTTATTTGCATTTTACATTTGTATTTTTTGGAGTTTAATTAGGTAGGAGAATAATATTACAGTTTTATATAGAATAAAAAAGCGTGGAACATAAAATTTTAAATAAAAATAAAAATGTAAATTCCAAAAAAGACTGTATACCAAGTCGATAGAATAATAATAATTAAAAAAAAAAAGAGAGAGAGAGAGAAAAATCACCGACAGTCTTGTTTAACTTTTCACTTTCAAAAGCCACCGACACTTCTTACACGTGCGATTCACACGTGCACGTGTCTTGGGTGGTACCTTCCTCTGCTCTGCGTGTTCCAACGCATATGGTACACCCTCATCTCTCTTTCGTGGAGAATGAGGAGGAATGGCCGGCCGGCGTTTTCAACTGTTTTTTCATTATTATTATATTTTACCTAAAAATAAAACATTATTAATTTACTTTAATGTCTAGTTATTGAAAATCATATATTTAACTAATCTTCAATGAGATTTTATCATTTTCCTCGAACAGCATCAGTGGGGTTTTGTGATTGATTAACGACTTATTACCGACCACTCATGAATATAATATAGCAGAATCAGACACTTTTTTTTTTTTATTATGATTGTATATTTTTTTGTTATTTTAACGCAGTGAGGATCATTAATTTTTGTAGTTTTCAATAGTGTAAAATTCCTTTTTAAAAAAATTATAACTGGCCTTAAATGGCAATGCCAATTTACATAAACTCAATTAATTAAAAATCAGAGTTTGATTAATTGTGTATAAAGTCAAAAGAACTGGGAGTAATTTTACATTGTATTTGATATAAAAATATCGAAGCAAAATAAAATCATAGTAATTTTAATCTAATATAATGGCGTTAAAAACATTAATTGCAATACTTACCAAAGAGTTGTATGTATCCTATATATAAATTTATAATACTGGCTAGCGTCGAGATCATATCTACTGGCCAATAATATTATTTATGATTTTAATTAATTTATTTAAACATAATTAAATAATATATATATATACACACCTAATAAAATAAAACAATATTTTATCATAATAATACTAGCTTCATCAACTAAAATTTTCTGCATCATTGTGTTATATATATATATATATATATATATATATATATATATATATATGTCATGTATATGTGTATAGAGATGATGTGACATGGAAAAGAGAAAAAACAGAGCAAAACGGTGAGTGGGGGCCAAAGGGTGGGAGACAGACAATCACAGCCGTCGATCTTGACCTCACTCTTATGCATTACATAGATATAAACATGGACATGTGAACGTGCATCCCAAAAATGTCACGTGACACTTCTCTAAATATCCTCCAAAATTTGCGTTACCCACTTGGATATTATTGGAATTGCACATATTACTATAAGATTAATTATGTGAATTGACAATATTATGTTTATATAGATAATTTTAACCCATTTTGAAAACTATCGAAATTGGATTCGATCAAAACTAGATTCTAGATAATTGTATTGGTTCATTACAATTATAAAAATTAGAGAGGGACTTTAAATAACATTTTTTTATTATTTTTCAATACTACATATTTTTTACAGTATGAGGTTTCTATAAATTGATCTAAAATTTTGGGACAAATTAGTCATCACTTGCACTCAATTGAGAAAATTAAGTATTATTTCCAGTAAATAAATATATCGAAAACACTAACATGAAAATTAAAAAATAAAATTGAAAATCAGGAAGGTCGTAATGGCAACAGTCTCGGGTTAAGTAAGATTTGGAAACTAAGTCCTGTTACTCTTCAATTAACAATAATAATTAGTGTTTAAATAAAACTCTGCATGCAAATATAATTTTTTTTTGTTTTCCCAATCCATCGATACCATTAACAATATGTGAAACAAATTTTTATATTTCTGTAAAAATTTTATAATTTAACTATTTAATTGACATATATTAACATAGTTATATGGGATTTTTCTTTTCTTTTTTAAACATTTTTTCTTAATAAATTATAAAACCCCCGCCCTAAAACGACACCGTTTTCAGAGGGGGAAAATGCCAAAAATTTTATCAACATGAAAGCCAATGAAAAATTGCAAACCGTGTGTTTTAGCGCTGGCAGCTCTAAACTGCCGCTATCTCAAACCTGCTCGCCCTTTAGTCTCTTGCTCGGCTCAACCTTCACAGAAGAACGTAAAGGTGATCATCATCATACACATTTATACATTATATGATCCCTTCCAATACAGGTTATAGTGAATGGAGCAGCTGAGGAGATAGGAAGAGCGGCCGTAATTGCTATCACAATGTGATTAAATTAGTCTGACCATTATAGCAAAAATAAATTAATTTGACCCTTCGAGGATTCTCATCCAGACAACTGCC